TCAACTGTATCTCTATGTGGTTCAATAACATTTATGAACACGGTTGAAGATTATTTAGCTGAATGTGGTCATCCATCATCTCAAATTCATATAGAAGTATTTCAACCAACACTTAGTGTGGTTCGAGATGCGGTTAAGGACGAAGCAAAAACAAAATCATTATAAATGTCACAGTGAACAATTATTGAAAGACTATTATCTTTTTTTCAGCAATCTCATATTTAAGCAGCATTTAGTTTTTAGTTATTTTAGAATCTCATATATATATTAAAGAATAAAAATTAGAATTTCAACACAAAGTATTTGTATTTTAACTCCAGAGTTGGGCAACTCAGAGGTTTTTTCCAATCACACATCAAGTGAAACCTGGTTAAGAATTAGTTAGAACATAAAATTTGCTTGCATCTTTCGGATGAAAGACAGATTTTATGACCTTTGAATTCTAGTTCATGGTATAAGAAGATATAAAATGAACGAAAATACTTTGCTAGATATGACTCGACTTAAATAATTGTTAAGCCAAGCCACATTTCAAAATTTTTTCATCAAGTCAATGAAGTCAAGTCAAACTTGGCTCGTCTTTTCCAGCTCTGGTTGACTCATTTTTACGAGTTCTAATTAGATCAAATGTTCAAAAATTTCAGATTACAAATAATAAAGGCCTGTTAATTTGATGTTGAGGTATGAGTGTGGGCGAGGGTGAGTGAAGAGAAGACCCACACGAAGTGTAGGCGTCATCTCTACATCGATACACATACCCTTTCAACATGCTCGAATTTTCATTGTAAATCTAAATGATAGATGACGTCAAATATTTTCTTTTTATTTCTATCTATTTTTTTTTCTTTGTTTTCCATTCTTTCATTATCTCCTTCTCTCTCTCTCAACACTTTCAGTGAATATAGAACGTCATGACAGTCGATATACGTTTGCGTATACACTTATGGAAAAATAAAATCAGATTATTAGTCTGAGCTGATTAACAACATATATATTCATATGAAACCTTTGAGTATTACAAAAAATTCATAAAG